GTTGTAGAGAACGTTTCGACACAGGCTGAAGAGCAGCCACTCTGCAAAACTTATACCCAGCGGAGTGAATTGTTCCGGACAAATCATTTTTGACGTTTCGACAAGGTTTCAGACGAGAAAAAGCCACACAATAAAAATACAAGAAATTCCGCAGCAATCGCTCATAGTTTTAACTTTCTTTTATCGTAAATCTGTTTTATTACAGTTCTTGCAATCGCCTGCAACGTGTTCTATTAGAGAACAACGTAATTTTACAAATCTGGTAATCCAGGGGTTATCTGTTCGTTATGTTTCTATTTTAACTAGCTGTCAATTTACAAATGAACCGAACCGTGAAATATCAAGGGGCGTTTTCCAGAATCGTGGGGTTTGCGGGCAAGCGTTTCCTCTTTCCCCCTCCCCCTCCCACCTTTTTTTTTGCTTCCGCTCTAACCAACTTTCGCGCAATAACTCGATTGGAAACGCTTGTTACGCAGGCTACTTTTAATTAAAAAATATCAGCAGGACAAAAAGGAAGACACCTGTTGGCAAATAGCTTCGAGGTTTCAATTCTTAATTAGTTTCTCCGAACGTTAAAGTCCACAATAACAACCAGCTTTACAAGTTGCTAGCTGGCGACCAGCTATGAAATTCTGGTCGCCAGGACTAAATTTTTAGTCGCATTGGCGACCAGGAAGGCGCAATTTCGGACCCTGTTTCTAGCTTGTCTAGCCAGAAAGTAAGGTCATTTAGCTTGCTGAATTAGTGCCTTCTAAACACTCTTTGATCTTATACCCAATGGACTGCTTTAATATTGTTGTTGAATCAGAGAAAATGATATACTCATGCTGCCTTTGGTTTTAGCCCCTTGTGAGGATGAAATGGATGCCTTCCTCCCCATGCCCAGTTGCTCCCCAGTTTCTCCAGCCTTTGAATGCACTAGCTTCCAAGCTCATTGGCAAGTTTAATAAGTTAATGTATGATTCTACTGAAGATCTTCAGATAGAGCATGATGAAAAAATGCCTCCCGGCCTACAATCAGCAACTTTGGTGCAAATTGGTGATATAATAGAACTACTTTCCACTAACAACACCAAGCAATCCTTTTACATTTTACAATGACTTTGTTCTCAAAATTGTGAATTGAGTCCAATTTAAAAGGGACTTGTGCAGAATACTAAAGTAAGAGCATAACACTCAAGATCTTGTGATCAAATTGTAATGCAAAGCCAATTTTTGACAAGTAAACATACTGCTTTTCAATCTCTTTTCAATTTCTTTGCCCTTTTTGCATGACTGCGACGTGGAAATGCCTTATTTCAAGCTTTGCAGTGAACCTAAACAAGGCGCAGCAAAATTTCACTTCTCTTTATGAAATTGGATATGGTCCCTTGGAATTCAACATGGGTTTGCCTACATTACACAAAGTGGGTAGGAATAAGCAAATGTGTGAGAGCCTTAACTTGTATTTAAACAAGTTTTACCTCTTCAAAGTTAGGCTTGATCAAAGAAGCAAACAGCCACTCGCAGTGGTTTCTCTTCCTTAGTTGTGTATTGTCCAGCCCGGAGAAACTGCTGCTCACAGGGCGAGGTATAGTAGTAGAGTAATTATAGACATAACTAAACCATTATTTTGGGTTTTTTTTTCTAATTCCAGTGCATTTTTAGGGTTTTAAAGTAATGTCGAAAAATTGTTGCATAACTCTTATCTTTTTAAAGGGGCTGTGTCACAGCAGTCCAGTTCATTTTGTTTAATTTTGCTGATTTTTTGCCCTCAATCACTATGGAACTTACAGTAAGCAAAGAAATCACATGTAAATGACAAAGTCAGAGATTCAAGACAAACAAATATGTCTCCTGAGCATTATTTTTGAAGTTGCAAACTGCAGAGATAAACTTTGAAAAACTGTTAGGCTGAACAGTTTTCAAAAACCCTAATTTAAATGCGTTTCAATCTTCTTCAGTTTTGCCCATTCGTGTCTGTTGTATCTGTTGTGTTTTAATGTTTTAAGCGGTTATTTTTAAGTCTCTCATGGATTTAACGGGCATTTTGTAATTGCCTAATTTAGCTGAATTTCGTGACACAGCTCCTTCAAGTCTGCATGGACACTTCTTGTAAAAAATAATAATGATACGCATGAAAACGTTGTATGCCAGCATATCACCATAAGCACAGGTGCTACCGAAAATTGGCTCGAGAGACACATGAAATTTGGAGGACATTAGCAGGAATACCTTGGCTTTAATAGATGAAACAGTACGTGACGAAACCTCCCTCAAAAACTACATTATCAGCCTTCACTGTGGCCTACTTGAAAGACGGCAAATTGAACAACACGCGAACAGAAACAAAACTTACTTCTGCAGCCTCTTTCTCGAATTTCTCGATGGATCGCTTGTCAATCCCACCGCATTTGTAAATCAAGTGGCCAGTAGTAGTGGACTTGCCAGAGTCTACGTGTNGAGACACATGAAATTTGGAGGACATTAGCAGGAATACCTTGGCTTTAATAGATGAAACAGTACGTGACGAAACCTCCCTCAAAAACTACATTATCAGCCTTCACTGTGGCCTACTTGAAAGACGGCAAATTGAACAACACGCGAACAGAAACAAAACTTACTTCTGCAGCCTCTTTCTCGAATTTCTCGATGGATCGCTTGTCAATCCCACCGCATTTGTAAATCAAGTGGCCAGTAGTAGTGGACTTGCCAGAGTCTACGTGTCCGATGACGACGATGTTGAGGTGAGTCTTTTCCTTTGGCATTATGTCGGCTGTGAAGAAATCTTTGCGACAAGATGTTCCTTAAAGGAAAGTGAAAACCATGAGCGTAAAAACGTAGTTCTCACTTAAAACCCCACATTCCCGAGTTCACTTAAAAATTGCAAAGAGAATATTACTGTTTGTCACGCTTTTTTTTTCACATTTTATATTGAAGTAAATTTTTCAGTCTTTTTTAATACATCACGTGTCAGAGAGCATTCGACCCACTCAAAAGCGACTTTCAATTCCCCAAATAATTCTTATTTCACGAGGCGGGTTAGGCAAATGACAATTAAAAAACGTGTAGTTTTTGACATTACATCCAAGGACCTTGTTTTTGCTATAAAGAAGCAAAAACGTACGGAAAAAAAAGTCTCATATGAAAGGAAATGGCCACTACAACGCACGCAAGATGGTGAGAAACTTTATCGTTCTAAAACCTGAAAAAAAGCCCAAACTACACGCTTTAAAAGTAAGTGCCATAGAATATCAACATTTTTGACTAAAAACTACTTCTCGATGGTACCGAGAAGGGGAAGATTAAGGAGGGTTAAATGGAATAAAACATGACTTCCTACAAACCTTCGCGTCACTGAGAATCCACGGATAAAAGAGGCCGGCTTTGGAGCGTGGTACGTACTTTATACTCGACTAGAGGGGGGTACTGATATTGACGTCATTACGCCATAATAAGGAGGCATTGTGCAATCTCTGGTACATGAATTTCCGCTTTTTACGCGACATTGAAAAAAGGAAACGGTAAAAAAAGGAATACGTATTTTCTCAAAGAAAGTAAGAGAAAGTTTCCAAGGTCGCAAGTAGAAAAGTACTATTGAAAAAAAGGACGCGAGAAACTCGTGTAAAATTTACTAAGGGTGGATTCATTTGAAGAAAACGCATAAAGCTGTCACATTTGTCCGCTGGAATTTTGATTGTGATTGTTTTCGAGATGAAAAACAATAAATTCCAACGGGCAAATCTATGCTACAAATGAATCCACCTAAATGAGACGATGGCCCAAATTAGCGCTATTGTCTTATTCCTCGCACGTGCAGCGTGCAAAGTTTCGTCCTGCTGAAAGTGCGAGATTCTTTCTTGCTATACTGCAAAAACTGAAACCTCTTGAAAGCACGCAAACAAAATTGAGTATGTTTGTTGTCAAACTCTAGATCTGGCCCTCCATAAAACTAAAGAAAAACAAAATTTGCCTTTTACACTTAACTTCTGGCCCTGAGCTTTGCAAAGTTGCAGTTGTTTTGTTCGAGCTGGTCTTTTGGGAATTTCATCACCCAGTTATTGTGTCCGTTGACATCTTGACCAGTTTGATCAGGCAAAACAATTTTTAAAATTTAATCATTAACTGCAATTTGAACTAGAGGAACGAAATTTGGCTTTAATACTAAAACTTGTAGTTTCGAGAGAAGCAAATGACAAAAAAACGGCTTCTAAGTTATGCTCAGCATGGTGGTAGCCGAAAATCTGGACAGCTGTTTTCATTGTTTGTTATTGTCCTTTTAATTGGTATACATGTACGCCACTTGCACATCTACAAAGATGCACATTATTTTTCCCCAAAATTTTACATAACCTTTGATTTTCATTTCTCCTGGGTATTAATTACAGCCGTCCAAAGAGAAACTGATAACAATGCTAATTTATAGAGTAGCCCGCAAGAGCATCCGGTTTTTTCGGCTCTAGTTTCACCCACCGAATAATTTTTCAGAGGCCAGAAGCGACGACCGGAGATACGTCTGCGGTTCGCAGGCTAATTAAGATTCACGTTTACTGACTTTACTCTTTATTTCTTCTACACAAAAATATGTTGTTTCAAGCCAGTTTTAACCAGAGGAACCGTTCGGGACTGTTTTTATCTGCTTATTTTCTATTCTGAGAAATTCTAAACTTGAAGTCTGATGTTTGCCGCGGTAAACGTGAATCTTAAGCAAAATTTTGGGGGGCAAATAAGGTACGGCAATTGTGGGAGATGTAAGATCGTAACTTTACTCCACCCCTACTCACATCTCTGAACGCCTGTTGCAAGAGACTGGGAATGAAGGCTGTTTGTGGTCGCATAGCAACAGAACATCATATGACTTCTAAACTTCATGAGATCACGGAGTTCTAGAACAAAAAGTCAAAAACATTTATATTTTATTGTGTATTAGCGGATGTTTTCCTTCTGGCAGTGAATTATCCTTCTGAAAGCAAGAAAAGGACAACTTGAATACTTAACTGTGCTGGAAATTCTTGTAAATCATGGCGGAAAGGGAATCGAGGGGAATTCGGGCAAAAACCGCGGGTAGATTTCCGGACTCAACATGGCGGGCAGGAACGCCGAGTCTCTATCACGAAAAGTGTGCTCCACAGACTGAAAGAGTGAAGTCTGCTCCACCAAAAACATATGCTCAGAGAGAATATGCCAAGTGTGATATTGTTCGCAATGATGAGATATGGAAAAATCGCTGTCGAAACGAAGGAAATATGGCAAGGAAATGGTATGACTGATCGAATATGATACATTTCAAAATCTTTAAATTTTTGTTTAGGGGGGCAAACATACAGTTGTGCTTTCTTCAGAAGAATGAGAAAAGATATTCCATGTTATTTTGCTTCAAAATCTAAACTCCCGAGGTTTAAACCCTCTTCATTCATATTTCCGGGTTGGTCTGACTTCTTAAATTATTTAATGGCGTCTTGCAGGTTACACTTCTTTCCCTTGAATACTTGAATAGTTTGTAAATGTGTGGCAGATGGTCAGACAGTGCAGTTAAATTGTGGTTGTATAACATCAATTTGACTAGCTGGCGAAAACGGCCGTTTCTCCTTGCTCCTCACCGCTTAGGACGTTTTGCGAGGAGGAACGACTGCGACTCAGCGACAGAAATTCCATACTGATGACGTAAATCAATGTTTACATAATAAATTCGGTAGTTGTGGGGTTCCAAATGCAAATATGTTCAATTTTACGTTTCTCCTGGTCGATTTTGGTAAAGTGTTGTGTTCATTTGCGAACGAGCTCCAGCAATATCCAAATGCTTCTTCTGGAGAAGTATATATACCACAAATTTTGACTGTTTTGTTACAGATTCATTGCATTTATATTTGACCTTTGCAGCCTTTTGGCTTTTGTATGTTTTTTGAAACAATAGATAGAACAATGTAACTACTCTGACGTCCAATCAGCGCTTATGACCAGATTCTGGACAGATTTTACGTCATCAGTATCAGGGCTTCTGATATTTCGNACAGATTCATTGCATTTATATTTGACCTTTGCAGCCTTTTGGCTTTTGTATGTTTTTTGAAACAATAGATAGAACAATGTAACTACTCTGACGTCCAATCAGCGCTTATGACCAGATTCTGGACAGATTTTACGTCATCAGTATCAGGGCTTCTGATATTTCGTGGGGTCGCGGACTTGCGAATTTCAGGTATTTCTGCGAAATCCCGCGAAATTCCCAAAAAGAAACGTTTACCAACGCTGGTCATATTGACGCAAAATTGATCGATTTTAGCAAAATTTGCCAAAAAAAATCCAGCGAAATCAGCTGTTTTTTACTGATTGTTTCTCGGCGAAGTTTTCCCCCGAAATTTCCCGTGAAATCGGCGGATTTTCCTAAGAATTTGCCCCAGAAAATCCTTCGAAAATTGACTTTTTTCCGCTAAAGTCCCGCGAAATTGGCCGATTTTCCGCGAATTTGCCCCTGAAAATCCCGCAAAATTTTGCTTTTTTTTCCGCGAAATATCAGAAGCCCTGCAGTATGGAATCAAGACCCAGCTAGATCATGTAGAGAGCTTGATATTAATAGTCCATCTGCGCAACGGCTCCCAAAAGCTTGTTGTGGTATCCTCAGGTTTACAGGAAAATCTGTATCCGTTTCTGATTGGCTAAATTTCTAACAAGTTCTGTGATTGTTGGACATGCTTTATGTAACAATCACACAATACTCTGCAAAGCTAAAAAAAAACTTTTTGTGCAAGTTGCAGCTTGCATAGCAAAAGGCCAAAGAAGTTAAATCTGATTCGTCGGTTTATTGTAATTTATACTTTCGTATTATAGGTAAAAGGGTTTTGCTTGTTAAGGGATAGAAACAGTTCAACGTTTTTTCCAAAATTGCGAGTTTGAAGAAACTTACTCACGAAACTGAAGAAATGATGATCGAGGACTCATCGAGCAAATCGAAAATTTAGAAGAAGAACTCAGAAACCTGAATAGAATCGAAGTTAATTCATTAGTGTTGAAATGATCGGTAATAACTGAGATTTCCTAGTCTCCCAACAGCAAAGGCCACCACACACCTCTAGAGTACTGCCCTGTGTATTCACTGAAGAGGCTGTAAACAAAAGAAAATTCTGGTTGATTTGTTTTTGTAAGACAAAAGGAAAAAGTTTTAAGCAGTATTTGCAATAGATTCAGTATAAAATTAGCCTTCAAAAACAGCCTATATTTTGCGGTGCCACGAATGGTTTCATGGCAAAATGACATCTAGAGAGCGAGCGCTGTCAAATTCATTACTGATGAGGTGTCACCACCCAGATCTGTGCAGTGGTTATGACTGGTTGAAGTAAATTTACTATTAATAATCAGAGGGACTGCCCAGGTCAAGGTAGTGACACATTACCAGTATGGAATTTTTGTGCTGGCTCCTCAGATGTCATTTCACAGGGAAACTTTTGGTCACATCACAAAATGTTAGCTGTTGTCTCAGGCCAGTATAAAATATTATTAACTCTGAAAAATAATCTGTTGCTGTCATTCAATATTTTCAGGGAAGAAAACTGGGGATTTCTCAAAGATTATGATCTGAAGGGAAGATTCAAGCCACCGAAAGAACTACCAGATAAAGTTAGTGTATTCTCAGACAAAGTTCCTAACACTACAAGCCGACAGTTTGGTCACAGGGTGAAAAGTGCTCCAGCAAGGACAATGCAAAAGTTTGAAAGACTTACAAACTACAGAGTCAAGACCAACAAAGAGTTACTCTGTTATGACTAAATGTATTGCATCATTACCAAATCAATTTAAATATGGGTACATGTAATGAATTTAACATTTGTATTGTTTCTTGACTAACCAATGGGAGGGTCAATCTACTCCTTAAGGGGTACTATGGTGGGTTTTGTAATGCCCTATCCTTTTAATTTGGGCCTGGTTTAAGAAAGATCTTGCCTTCAAGATGATAAATAAATCTGCTTTTAGAAAAAAAGGGCCAATTTAGGTTAATTTTTTAATATATTCCCTTTCTTGACATTTTGTGTCACTGCCATTCTCTAGCTCTGCTCCCCTGAGGGAAGGGTTGGGGGGTGGGGTTCTGAACCAGGTTTTATAAGGGGAGGCTCCACCCTGAGGTCCGACCACTTTCCCCCTTTACCATTTTTGACAGAAAGGTACCCCTTTCACATACTTGTATCGGGCAAAATTTGTACCCCTTTCACATACCTATAGTTAAGAACTTTTTATCCATTTTAAATGGTGTAAATGCACTATCTTCAGAGCATTTTCTCAACTTTTTCATGGCCATAAACTGCATCTCTTAGCCCTGTTGGTCCTGTTACAAACCAAAGTGACAGATTTCCCACCCCTTTCATATACTTCAACGAGTAAAATCCCTACCCTTTCATATACCTGAAGCCTAAAAAAGGTACCCGTTTCGGGCGGAGCCTCCCCTTATAGGCCATTATAGGGAGCACCCCTCCAATCTGCACCTCCCTGCACACCTGCTGAGTCTCTATCAAGGTGTCATTGATGTCAGTAATCTAATAATGGAAAAATTATTTGATATTTGATGTAAATCTTTCAATTATTATTCTCAATATTCTAGCTGAATATTAAATAGTATAACTTAAATTTTACAGTTCTACTCTGGTTGAGGATCTGTAAAATTGTGCACATAAATAATTCAAAATATGTTTGTAAGTTTAACATTATAGGAAAATGTGGTTGTATCAATACTAAGTCATTTAGATTCAAGTTGTTTTGAGACGAACTTAAGCAGTGAAACTGCCCAAAAATTTCGAAAAGTTCATGAACAAGATGAACATATGACGTGAATACTCCTTGTTCTATAAGCCAACTATGCAACACCATTGACACCTCGACTGAATCAACTTGTATTGAAACAACTTGTAATGAAACGTCTTTGTATCGAGAAGACTGATATTAAAAAAAATGGAAAATGTATTATATGCTACACAGTAAAATTAGATGTTCTGCTCGTGCAAAACACCTTTTCAGAGCTGTTGGACTATTTATATTATTAAGAAAGTGTTTGTATTCAAATGTCTTATGAATGTTCAAAGTTGGGGCTCTGTAAATTGCAATAAATTATAATATCGGCTTGAGGTTCTCAAAGACATTTCAAGCTACCCATTAAAGGCAGACTCTGAGCCTAGAATTTGGTGTTTTCCTCATTCATGCTTTCACGGACAATGGATGTGTGCCATTGGTTCACCATAAAACTAGAGGCTCCCCTGTTGTATAAAATAGTAGATACTTATGCAGAGCTTTAAATGAAAAGCATACATCTTTAAGTTTAATGCATTTCCAAAGTGTTCTTTGGCATAGGTAGATAATAAATTATTCTGTTAACCACATGGTGCAGCCATACTTTACTTTATACTTGACTTTATAGGCCTTACTGTATGGGGGAGGGGAGGGTACTTTAGGGTGGGGATGTGCCACTGGGACCCTGAAACCCTTAGCCTAGTTCAGCTGAATTTAGCCTAGAACAGGCTCTCTCATGTTCACAGGCTAAGCTGAATTTTGCTACCCTATGGTAGACTAAAGTTCCCAAATCCCCCCTATCCTAGAGTAGCTGTTTTCCAGAAACTACTGAGGTCACTAGCACAGTGCAGCCGAAAACAAAACCGATTTGATTTTTTTTTAAGCTGAATTTTGCTACCCTATGGTAGACTAAAGTTCCCAAATCCCCCCTATCCTAGAGTAGCTGTTTTCCAGAAACTACTGAGGTCACTAGCACAGTGCAGCCGAAAACAAAACCGATTTGATTTTTTTTAGATTTTTGCGTGGTAATTCCCGCTTTCCCTAGTCTAGACTAAAATCCTCAACCAGTTGATCAGTTTCCTGGAAATGATACCCTATTCTAGACCCAAACTCTCTAATTCATATACCCTATCCTAGAGGAAACTTGTTGAAAACCATACCCTACACAGGGGCACATACCTTCATAGCTCATATATGGCAGTACCCCCCCCCCCCTAGGACCCAGTCGGGATGGGCACAACAAGGACTCGTACCCACCCATTCTTTTAATTCGAAAGGAGCTATGCCACCAGGAATGGTGGATTTTGAGGGCTGTTTTAGATCAGTTCTTTGCTGACGTCATGACTTAGTTCATCTACCCAATTACAAAATGTTCCTCACAGTTGTGAAGAAGCTATTCAACAAATTTCATCACGGAGTACTAACCATAACGCGTCCATCCCCGGGGTCCATCCTTGCCATCCTTTGCAAGAGACGACAGGAAATAATTTCAGTGCCTAAATATAGTCTTCAATAACAAAACTGGACCATTGTCAGTCGTGGATCCAGACCTTCAGATAAGGGGGAGGCTCGGTCATCCAGACTCTGAGATAAGGGGGGAGGGGCCCGGTCTCAAAAAAATATTTTTTCGGCCCTTCGGACCTCATTTTGGTCTAAAAATAAGGTGGGGCCGGGCCCCCCGGGCCCCTCCCCTGGATCCGCCACTGAATGTTTATGGAATTCAATTGATAGAAAGACAAGTTTTACCTTTTTAAAAAGATAGCAAAGAGCGTGACATAGCCCATTTAACCCGTTAGAGAGGTATCGGGTCGTTTCACTCGAAGGTCGTTTCGCTTGATGACAGTTCGCCCAGACTAAGTCGATTAGCCTGATGTCAGGAGCCCATAACCCGGAACGAGCAACTCTCATACTAGGTCTATGCCAGGGCGTTTTTACGGACCAGTTTATTTTTATACACATTAAGGGCATTTTTTCCCGCGAAAGTAGAATCTCCACCATGTCTTTGAGCGCACTCGAATGAAGAAAAAGATATCAAAAAGAAAAACTAAACGTTATTAAGAGACAAAAAATATCATTTTTAGGTCTGTAGGTTTTGCTGACTGGTTTATGGCCTGTTTAAAAGATATCCCAAATTCGCCCCAAAACCGTTCTAAAAATAAACTGATCTGTGAAAACGCCGTGACACAAACGCATGGAAGTTGCTCGCTGCGGGTTATGTGCTCTTGCTGATGTGCATTTGTCGTTCTTTTAGCCTGAAAAAAAGGAATAAGCATGGAAAGACAGTGACTGCCATGTGGAATCCAAGGTTAATTAAAACAACATCTCGGAGAAGTAGGTTCACCATGTTGTAGAGTGTCGTATGTCACTGGGCGAATCGACTTAAATCCTATAGCAAACGCTTTCGGGCGAAACGACCGCAATTCGTGAGAGATTGGAGTGGTCACAGCCACACTTTTTTTTTTGTTGTTGTTGTTGTTGCTGTTAGTGTTTGTTTTAAGTCCTTGTGGTTCTTTTAACGGTACGTCCTGCAAGTGTCAGATCAGGAAGGTGCTGTGAGATGTGTCCTGTGGTTTTGTCCTTATTACCAGAGCAGTAGAATGCCTAGACCCATTTAAAGATGTCAAACAAAAGCAGCACCGTTTTCTTCAAGCTTCTTTCAGTTAGCCTGTGGCCCTGTAGGGAAAGCTGGTGAGGGGTGTGGCACCGAGGCCTTCAAACTCTCATCCTGCTTAAGATGAAAAAAATTGTACTTTTCCTTACCCTGTTTAAGACAAGAGACCTATATTTATGATCCTGACTCGATTCGCTTTGTATACAGAATTATTAGATAAGTAATTTTTTAAACTAACATCATGAAAGAGAGGCCTGCCTCATGGAAATATTTTTTTTGCGAAAAAACTGTTGGTAGCACAAAATACCTTTCACGTACAGGACACCCTGTTCAAGACGCTAAATAGTAAAATTGCATGGCTTGCTCTGTCAAAGAATCAAGACCCTGAAAACCAGACCCTGTGATCATTGACCCGTTAGGCCAAACTGATCCTTGTAATTATTTGTTTGTTCTTTTTTTAGAGCGGTTTTCATTTGAGTGTCGAAAAGTAATTGGTTTTGCACTTTCTACACGATGCGATTGGCTTAAAAGATTCGCGCCACCTTTTCATCCAATCAGAAGTAAAACCAAAGCCAATTGTGACGCGCTCGCATGCATTTTCCCGCGCTTTGCGTCAGCCACATGTAATTACTTCGAGTTTTGATTGGTTCAATGT